GAAACACTGGGTCAATATAAAGGACTTTGCAATGGTTGAATTGCTGTAACAAAAATGATGTATCACTACGCCGTAATGTAATCAGGTTTAATAAAATTGAAATGTATGGCAAAGAATCATATTTATTTATTTGTGCATGTAAGAAAGAATTGGGTGATAAATAAAATCTCCTACTCGTCTTTTTTGATATCAAAAAATATCAACACTCGTCGATAAAGTAAAAAAAACCTCGGCAGAGCCTCGTTTATGTTTTACTTTATCGACTTGTGTTGATATTTTTTGTTATCAAAAAAGACTCGTAGGAGATTCTCTATATAACACATACTTATGGAAAAACAGCTACTTATTTATTTGGGCGACGTTTTGAAGAGTATTCAGTAATACAAGAATACAGAAAAACTATAACAATAATTCCTGAAACCACGCAGGCCAATATCACCTGCTCAGTTGGAAGTTGATAAAGAAACGACGGAGCTCACTATATGGCGTATGCCCGTCTTCAATTAGCCCTGTTGGCACCGACAGGTAGGACCTCGACCCCCAAGTGATTTGATTTCATATCATTTAGAACAATTCGTATCGTTACCGGGGAGTTAAAGCTAATTGTATTTACCTTTGGCTCCAGAAGAGGATTGGGAACGGGGAGGGGGTGATTTTTGAAAACAGTGAATCCTTTAATCCATCAAAAAATCTCGGGCATCGTTGCGTTGATTTAATAACATAGCATGACTGTGTTCTAATCCTTTAAGCAGGAAATAATTCAGGTTTGTAAAGAGTGTCGTTGCCATGGCCACGAGACAGAATCACACACATTTAACATATTATTTCTGTTAAATATCTCCAGACCTTGGAAGCGCGTTTCAAATGCTCTAGAGATAATCCGTGTCAAGGAGCGTTAATCCGAGTGTTAAAACGGCAAATGTTAAAACAATTGGGATTAAGGTCGGACACGACAAAGGGATTAGGGAACAAGCATAACTCAACTATAATTATTTGTCGAGGCTTTCGTCCACTGGATGTCATGAATTACACCCTTGTTGTTAGTATAGGTTTTAACAAAAATAAACACATTTCTACAGCCGTTAAAAAACCCTTAAGTGCCTGGACCAGGGTCGTATATAGATTGCGGCCATTGTCGCCATTTTGTTAGCCAATCTGTAAGATTAATAGATCAATATTTAGTACAAATTTTGAGTGTCGGTGAAAATGAACGGAATGGTAATATTCTTTAAGTGGCATTTAGTAACTGGGCAGATAAATAAACTATAAACATAGACCTACTCATGGCAAAGTACCTGTTTTCCATAAGTATGTTTATAGTTTATGAACGGAATGGTAGTTATCCATAAGATACATTGGGTCAGAGGCATAAGATAGATAGAGCCAGGTTAATAGATCTCTAAGGTTTAATAGATTAACATCCGAACAAAACAATATTAATCATGGGTGTCAATGAAAACAGACGGAATGATTTCTATATAAGATGTAGGGGATCAGAGAGAGAGGGAGAGAGGGGAGAGAGGGGGAGGGGGAGAGAAAGGAGAGAGAGGGGGGGAGGAGAGAGAGAGGGGGAGAGGAGAGAGAGGGGGAGAGGAGAGAGAGAGGGGGAGAGGAGAGAGAGAGGGGGGAGAGGGGGAGAGAGGGAGGGGGAGAGGAGAGAGGGGGAGGAGAGAGAGAAGGGGGAGAGACAGGGGAGAGAGGGGGAGGAGAGGGGGGGAGAGACAGGGGAGAGAGGGGGGGAGAGACAGGGGAGAGAGGGGGAGGAGAGAGAGAAGGCGAGAGAGAAGGGGGGAGAGGAGAGAAAGAGGGAGATAGAGACAGAGAAGGAGAGAGAGTAAAACGTCTAATCGACACAAACTAGGTCATTTCGGGACTGCTATACACTTCTGTCTCTGATCCACTGGTGGGTTGGATGGCCGAATGGTTAGCACATGCGCACTGTATCATAAGGTCTGTCATTGAGTCAACTGGTAGGGTTTCGATTCCCTGGTTGTACGTGACAAGGTGTAGGGTCGCTTGGCCAACTTCGTGGGTTTTCTCCGCGTCCTCCGGTTTCCTCCCACTACTAAAGACCCCTACGCGCAAACGAATTACTGAAATAAAATAGAACCATATTATAGTCCTAAAATGACCTGGTTTGTGTGGCGTAAACGTTAAACCCCATCTTTCTCTCTCCATTCTCTCTCTCTCGCTCTCTCTCTCTCTCTCTCTCTCTCTCACTTATGTCTGAGAATGCTTAGTGAAACCGGGGCCTGGCCTGCACTTTAAAAGCAAAACCTTGAGTTCGTTGGCATCTTGTCTGCGATATCACCTCGGTGGAAGCGGACGTAAAATACAACTAACTAACAACAATTCGTTGGCATCTAATAATAAACAATTTAAGATATTTTCTCATCACTGTATCAAAAAATAAAATATCATATCCACACTTACCGCAAACAAAATCAAATATTTATCTGGCGCGAAATTATCATTGTCAAAGGATCACATGCAACAGCATTTCATTAATCTCTTTGTTGGCATGAACCAACCTAATTCTTTGTAAGTTTCCCATAGAGATATTTTCGGGTACAATATTAATCAAACAACAAAAGATTAAGAAACAGTTCGACACTGAATTCTCATCGGTCCATCAAGGTCAACATATTTTGGGGAGTGTTCATATACTTTTTGTTTTTAAAGTCACGACAACCACAGGACGAGACAATAATGTTATCCCTTTCTCTATTTAGGGATCAAAATACGACCGTTGCCAGGAATTTGCCCAATCGGGTCTATTTTGTAAAACTTGTAAAACGTTAGACTTTTTAAAAGAGATAAATATTTATAGAAAATATTAATTGTATATATCTCAATTTCTTTTGAATATAAAGTCTGTGATATTTGCAATCTGATTAAAACACAGATCTTATTTCGTTTCGTTTTTATAGTTCAAAATTTCGTTTTACTTGTCTTTACTACACTAGAACCTGGAAGTGTTGTTATCATTGAACGTGTTCTGAATGGTGTGAGGAATTAGCCAATAAAACGGTCTGTTACGACGATCCTTAGGCGTGTTTTACACGGAACTGTGGGTAATCTACTAGTAACTTCAATGCTGATTGGTTAATCAAATGTCTGACGTCATAGGGTCAAAAGTCGCTCGTATGAACTCTGACGCGACCTATCGCCTACGATTTTTAACGTAAAAATGATTAAAACACAAATTCTATTTCGTTTCGTTTTTTATAGTTCGAAATGTCGTTTTACTTGTCATTACTACACGGAACTGTGGGTATTCCACTAGAAACATCAACGCTGATTGGTCAATCAAATGTCTTAAGGAATAGGTTTTAAAAAATCGCTTGTGTGACCCCTGACGCGACCTTCCACTACAACTGGCCAGATCGTCATGTAGTGGAAGCCATAGGAAGTATATAAAAAAACGAAACTAAATATAGATCTGTATTTTAATCAGACATGAAAAGCGAAAATGTAGAAAATAACAATTTGAATGATTATAGGGTCTCGGGTTCTATTGTGGGTGTGTGTATGGTCTGGAGTTGTATATTTGAGGGGGGGGGGGATCACGTGGCTAAGTGGGTAAGACGCTAGCTCGATAGTCTGGAGGTCGAGTGTTCGATCCCTGCATTGGCCGAGATTTTCCGGCGTGGTTCTCCCTTGTCAGTGATGCAGGACGGAGGGGCTGACAAGGAAAGCTGTCTAGTGCACGTAAAAGATCCCTTGGCAGTTGGAATTCGATATAAGAGTAGGCCGTAGTGCCGCTGTCCGGGCAAAATTTCCCTCATAGCACACTGTATGGCGTATGCCTGTCTTCATTAGCCCAGTATAGGAGCAGAACAATAGGACGTTACACCCCATTTAATTTGTGTATATTTGAGTTGTGTTGTGACATGTTTGAGCTGTGGCCACAGTTTAATAAGAAAATTTAAACTAATCGATTGGAGAGGAAATATTTAATATTGAAATAATAAATAATACGGGTGCAGGTGGTTAATCCACAAAACAACCAACAACACGTATCACATCAGATGACGGCAGAAAAACAACTATTTTATAGTTATTTTTCACGCCTTTGTGATGGACATTTCGACTTCAGTAGAGACTTGTGGCACCCCTTGTGGAATCAGCCAAGGGATTTGGAAATCTTAGAGAGCAATTAGCGTTGTGATGATCTTTGCTGGTCGGGATAAAAAAATACATTTCGATTTGACGTTATGTGTTATGTGTGGTTTAATTGCCAAGAGCCATTGAAACAACACGAGGGGCGTTATTCCTGACCTGTTGTTTCAATATATTACGCAATGTCTTAAGCTCGGGATCATTAAACGACTTAAAATACAGACACCCCGCACGTGCTTTGCAATGAAATACGTCACGCGAGTTCAAAATTTCAACTGATATAAATAGTGTACGCTTGGCACATTGCCCGTACCAATATTTGAATTAATGGTACGCCAACATCAAAGGATCACTTCATATTTGTATTTTAATTGTCCCCTCGATATAAACTAGGCCTTTCCGGGGCTAACACATGGTTCAATGTTATATTTATGTTATTACAGGTGTTATCATGTACATTATACCTATATTAATTATTTCTATGTTGTTTCAGGCAGAGGCGTAGCCGTGAAATATATATTGGGGGGTTGGGAGGGGGGCGCAAATGAAATTATATAAAATGTTTACAATCTCTGACGGCGGATGTAGCGCGATAGGGAGAGTGTGGGAGGGTCCGACCCCCCCCCCCCCCCGAAAAACAATTGGGGGGGGGGGGCATGTGTGACGGCCATGATTTCAGGTGTTATCAAGTATATTTTAACTATGTTATTTCAGGTGTTATCAATTATGTTATTTCAGGTGTTATCAATTATGTTATATCTATGTTATTTCAGGTGTTACCAATTATGTTATACCTATGTTATGTCAGGTGTTATCAAGTATGTTATACCTATGTTATGTCAGGTGTTATCAAGTATGTTATATTTGTGTTATTTCAGGTGGTAACAGGTATAAAACAGGTAGAAGTAAGAATAACCAGGTTTGATAATCGAGATGGTGAATTACAGAATAATTCATGCTGTGATGATATCTGCGTGTGTAAAACGGTCATGAAGATTTGTATATTTTATAGAAATCCTAGTGAATGTGCCACTAGCTACGTTACTAGTGATAGTTTGGGTAAGTTTGGCCTGAACCTCCCCTACACCCATAACACTTTACTAGCTAAGTTACTAATGATAGATTGGGTCAGTTTGAATTACCCCCCCCCCACTCCACCCATAACACCTTACTAGCTACGTTACTAGTGATAAATTGGGTAAGATTGAACTGAACACCCCCCCCCCCCCCCGAACCCATAACACTAGTGATAGACTGGGTTAGTTTGAATTACTGTCCCCCCCATCTCCTCTCCACCCCACTAAAAACACCTTACTAGCTACGTTACTAGATTAGGGTACGTTAGAACAGTACCAGACATTTCCCTGTATCCACAACCCTTGGTAAGGATTGGGTAAGTTTGAAAGGTCTACCCTTGGTAAGGATTGGACAGTGTTTAGATCATGATCAAACTTAATACACGGATGTTTCGGCAACATTTGAAGGGCAAGTCTGGGTGATAAAGACCAACCAGAGACGAAATAGAATCAAAAAAGTATCCCGATTGAACGGCTAAAATGGTTATACTCGTACAATACCCTGGGTTAGCTTTTGTATGAATAAAGGTGGATAATTGCATGTTGCAATCATTATTTCAAGAATACTATGGTAACCAATCATAATTAGTAATTGTCATTTAAAACTACAGTCCATTTTACGACATTTAGGTTTTCACGAAAACACCATTTTAGTATTATTTAGTTTAGACCTAATTGAGAAAATTATAAGTTAACGATGGGGGCTTCTTTTAAACAAGGGGGATCACGTGGCTAAGTGTGTAAGACGATGGCTCGCTAGCCTGGAGGTCAGGTGTTCGATCCCTGCATTGGTCTAGAAAGTTTCCCCTTGTCAGTGGTGCAGGACGGAGGTCCCTACAGGGAGAGTTGTCTAGTCGTTCGGTAGGGACGAAAAACCGAGGCCCCATGTATACATTGGCATGCACGTAAAAGATCCCTTGGCAGTTGGAATTTGATATAAGATTAGGACAAAATTTCCCTCATAGCACACTGTATGGCGCGTGCCCCTCTTCATTACCCAGTCGGCGCTGAACATTAGGAGGGTAAACCCTATTTGATTTTATTCCATTTCAATATATGTCTCTAGGAAACGGAAGCAAAATCACGGCACTATGTAAATACAAGCATAAGAATACTTTGTGGCCAAAAATACACGTTTAAGAACCTTTTATAAAATACACGTTTAAGAAAATTTTGTAAAATACGCGTTTAAGAAAATTTTGTAAAAATACACGTTTAAGATAACTTAGTAAATACGCGTTTAAGTTTTGTAAAATACACGTATAGGATAACTTTGTAAATAAAAGTTTAAGATAAGTTTGAATTGGAGCTACAATGGGTTAATGATTACTGTTTATTTATTCTGACAAATAACATTCTGTACCTACCCCACGTTATCAAAGGCTACAATTTAATTAAACAAACTCTTCGATTTAAACCGGGGTAAAATAGTTGAAATACCAACGCGAGATTGCCTAAACATTCGGGAGCAAATTTAAATGACATGAACATCGAATAGGACTTGAAGAAAATAAATAAAATAGTTCAACTCCTAATCCTATAATTGTATCGTAGGTTTTAAAATTGTTGAGACATCGCACTTTAGTTAGGATTAAATAGATCAATAAGCCAGTCAATGAATTTGCTGTTCCTTAAAAGATTCATTATGCAAAAGCTAAATCTGCCTATAGCAGGTCTTTCTTTAGGTCTGAAATGTTATCTAAATTATTAACTAGACATTTATTAACATGACAAAACCATAACCATTTGATGCCATCGGATGCCTTCGATTTGAATCCGATCTATTGCTCAACAGCCGTTATGATTAAACGTAAAATTGGATAACCGAGTCTTTGTGGATCATCGTAAGGCCGGTAACAATGACAATCGCGTCTACTTTGAAATTGAAATGAGAAATTCCCATCTCAGCGTGAAGTAATTTGACTCTAATTTTCAGCATATTTAATATACATTATCTATTTTTTAACTATTATATAGAGAAATGTCAGCTCTTTATTTAATGTTACAAAATATCGCTTTAATTTTATGTTTCGGATTTGTTTCATTCAATGATACCTAAACTACCAAGAGCTCTTAAAACGGGAGAGTGTTGAACGTAAACCAAATAAAGTATACGATATATGATATCCCACATTATCATTCTTAAATGAAAAAAAAATGTTATTCGTTTAAAATCAGTATTTATGTGTAACATATATACGATATCATCCAATATCATTCTTAAATGAAAAAAAAGATGTTATTCGTGTAGAAAGAGTATTGAGGGTTAAGGTTGTGGCAATTTTAGGTTAAGTCACTCTGTATCAGGGACCTTTTTTGCCCCTGCCCCCTCCTTTCTCCTTTCCAACATCTAGATGATTCAGTTGTACTATATATGTTCTGAGGAATCAAAAATCTTTTAAAAGGAACAATTAAAAAAAATTATGCATAATTACCCATTTCAATTTTGAACTTTGATATTCATGCCCCCCCCCCCTAAACACTTATAGACCCTATGGCGGAGCAACAGCTGACACCCACCCCCTCTTGTGAGGCCTGTTCTGTATAATGAACAAAGACAAGGGCTAGGTTTAAGAATTTGGGGGAGATGTTAAGTCTCCACATAAGCACTGGCCCAGGATGATGAAAAGTTAGTTCGTGATATTTCCTATTAAAAATACATACAATATATTAGATTTATATACAAAAGCGATTTTACTGTTTTTTGGTGTTGGTGGCGCTGATGGTCTTCCTTCCTTAGTTTGGTTCAATAATTGTCATTCTTTACGGAGCAATCGTAAAAGTAACTTAACGAAAAAATAACATTTATTAAAGGCTAGATGACTCTTTTCCGGTGAGTCTTTGATGGTCTGGGGTGACTCTTGGGGCACTAAGTACAAAACATATATTTTGAACCGCTCCACTCCTGTAGTGCTGATTGTTAGACGCCATTTGTATTGTGCAAACTTCCTTTCGAAACAAACTAGATCACACTTGGACTAACATAATGAGCATGGTACAAACAAGGGGTCTTTAGCAATGGATGGAACAGGAGGACCCGGAAAAACCCACGAAGTTCGGCATGAGACCCCACTACTTGTCACGTACAATTGTGGGATCGAAAGCAGGCTACTAGATAGACCTTTTGAACTAAAGCGTACTTGTTAGAACAATCTGTGTGTGAATATATCTTTTTTTTTATATTTTAGGTGGTAATGTAATTGTTGGATCACGATCTGTCAAACTCGATAAAGAACAATTAACTGACGTAAGTGAACTTCTAGTATTTGAATTATTCCTAATGTTATTATGAACGAAAAACAACACAACACAAGCAAACAAGGACAGTTAATGTCACAGTGGAGCAGAGAGAGAGAGAGAGAGAGAGAGAGAGAGAGAGAGAGATAAATGGGGTTTAACGTCCACTCGACACAAACTAGGTCATTTCGGGACTAACACATGGTTCAATTTTATTTCAATAATTTGCTTGCGCGTAGGGGTCTTTAGCAGTGGGAGGAAACCGGAGGACCCGGAGAAAACTCACGAGGTTGGACAGGCGATCCTACTCCTTGTCACGTACAACCGGGGAATCGAAACCCCGCCAGTTGACTCAATGACAGAGCGTATGATACAGCGCAGCGCGGACGTGCTAACCATTCGGTCACCCCCCGCCCCAGTGGAGCAATTTCTTTCCCTAAAGGTTTATTCTCTTTTTAATAAAACGGTAAAACATGTTTTATTGGGTAGAACGATATTTTCTGTGTTATGTCAGGTTCCCACTGTCGTGCGATGCATTACGATGAGATTGTCCCGGTTGAAGCTACGATCTGCTGCGTGTAGATACGTTCGGATACGTTTCAATACGATCAACACGATTGCTACGACTGACCTTAAATATATGATAAGACCTGATAGCATCACCACGATTATCCAATCGTAGCACGAATCGTGATAGTGGGAACCTAGCATTAGAAACCTGCAGCACGATCCAATCGTAGCACGAATCGTGATAGTGGGGACCTAGCATTAGAAACCTGCAGCACGATCCAATCGTAGCACGAATCGTGATAGTGGGGACCTAGCATTAGAGACCAGCAGCACGATCTATCCAATCGTAGGACGAATCGTGATAATGGGAACCTATTATTAGTAATCTCCCCGTTGTTGTTTATTCGGCTATACAGGGGTTGGGTGGCCGAATGATTTGCTGTGTTACATTGCGACTTAGTTTACAGACATTTTAACAAGAAATACTGTATAGCAAACATGAGTGCGATTAAACAGCCTTATGAATATGCGTTTAGAAAAGTGAATCATGACACAAACACGGCTATAAGTTCCATTGCCCACGCGTAACCGGGAGTTTCGGTTTTATGTGGTTGATTATCCAGAATTTTTGGCCAAGTCAAGTAAGAGTTGTGCCCCTCTCCGCAATAAATCCCATAATTCTTGCATTATTATAAACAAACATGAATGGTGACGGCGAATTAGAATAAATTAAAAATACATAGATTGGTCCACGAAGCGAGAAATTTTACAGTGAAAAAAATTAGGAGTGTTGGATATTTCACTGGCAATGGAATCGAATAGATTTTCTGAAATGGCATTCTTAAATTAATTTAATGGACGTCGACTTCTTGTTTTTGGACTAGTTACCCTCCTTAGACGTTGTTTATGATAATGTAAAAGACCGGATAATCTAACCATTGACCTGTTATTCTCAAATGTTGACAACGCATCCAGACCAATTAATTTTCTGGATGATAGAGATTACAGATAAAGAAACACTGAGACATCTCAACATGATACAAAACCCTGGTGGTCGATGAAACTTCCTCGATGTGTTACCGATGGAGGCTGCTAGAACTACAGGTACGGCTTCTGGTGCCGTGGTGTTTGTTCCATGACAAATGCAAAATACTGTTTGAAGATTTCAAGAGTGTGGTGTAATGACAAATGCAATCTTTTAATATTTCAGGACTTTGGTTTAATAATACAAATGCTACACAATGGAACCCGTGGTGAAGAACTTATCAATCAATATAGTATTGATCTTAGTGGTATGTATCAATATATTTTATCAATCAATATTAATCTTGATGGTATGTATCGGTATGTTATATCAATCTATATAGTATTGATCTTATTAGTATGTATCAATATGTTTTATACGTCACAAATTAGATAATTGTGATACTGATTCCAGATAGCAATATGATTACAATACAGATCTATATTTCATTTCGTTTTTTTTATACTCTCGATGGCCTACACTACATGAAAATCTGCCCGGTTGTAGTGGAAGGTCGTGTCAGACGACATACAAGCGGCTTTTAACCCTATGGCGTCAGACATTTGATTAATCAATCCTATTTCGTTTCGTTTTTTGTAGTTCAAAATTTCGTTTTACTTGTCTTTACTACACTGGGATCTGGAAGAGTTGTATATAACCCACTTTCTGGATGATGTGAGGGGTTAGCCAATGAAACGATCTGATAGAGCGAGTTTTTGGCGTGAGGTGCACGGAACTGTGGGTAACCCATTAGAAACATCAACGTTGATTGGTTAATCACGTCTGACGTCATAGGGCCAAAAGTCGCTCGTATGACCTCTGACGCGACCTCTCACAACAACCGGTCTGATCTTCATGTAGTGTAGGCTATCGAAAGTATAAAAAAAAACCCAAAAAAAATATAGATCTTTATTTGAATCAGATTGTACCGGTGCTAGTATATATTATATTTTATTGTTGTTTTTACAGATTTAACAACCGGTGCTAGTATATATGAAACCCGATATTCAAACATGGAATCATCTGTTGGTATTTACCCACAGAACAAGGCCACGTTACAAATACAAGCCAGGGTAAGTATTTTATCATATAATCCGGATGTAAAATAAGTTTGTTGTCAGTTGGGGAACATCTGTGAATGCATACAAATTTGTCAATGCATACTATTCTGGCAAGGTATACAAACTCCGTGTAAAACAAACACAAGCGAGCAAAAGATGAATATTTTGAAACTTTCAGTCCAATTACTTAATTCTGGGCGAAATCATGAATGTTTGAAGATTTAGTCCTGATGGTCGATTGTCATTGCTAAGATAAAAAAATCGAAGTCTCGGTTTTTCCAGTTTAACGTTAACTGATTAAATGGCGCTGTTGGTTTGATCAATCTGATGTCCTAGAGAGTTAAATAGATGTCATGTCAATAAATTTATATAACATTTGAAGAAGCCAGAAAACAGAGAGAGAGAGAGAGAGAGAGAAATGGGGTTTAACGTCCACTCGACACAAACTAGGTCATTTCGGGACTAACATATGGTTTAATTTTATTTACATAATTCGCTTGCGCGTAGGGGTCTTTAGCAGTGGGAGGAAACCGGAGGCCCCAGAGAACCCACGAGGTTGGACAGGCGACCCTATTCCTTGCCACGTACAACCGGGGATTCGAAACCACGCCAGTCGACTCAATGACAGACTTTATGATACAGCGCGCGCACGCTAACCATTCTGCCATCCAACCCCCCGCCAGAAAACAGACCAACAATAGACAGATTTGGCTCTTAAACAATCTGGTTAAAACACAGATCCTATTTCGTTTCGTTTTTTTATAGTTCAAAATATCGTTTAAATTGTCTGTACTACACTAGGATCTGGAAGAGTTGTTATATAACCTGCGTTATGAATGGCATGAGGCGTTAGCCAATGAAACGGTCTGTTACGGCGACTTCTTGACTTGCGATGCCATCGAAAGTATAAAAAAAAACGAAACGAAATATTAGATCTGTACTTTAGTCAGATTAGCACATACATAATGTATCTTTAACTGGTGGGTGGGGGGCGGGGAATGGCGGGGGTTAGATTAAGATATACTGGTGTCCTCTTAAATGCCCAAAAAATCATTCAAGTGATAATAAAATAGAATAATACAGGTTACTTTTTACTAAAAAATGAACAGTTATAGGAATAATGAATGGGCATTTACGATTTCCTGCCGTTTAAAGGGAGATAATACCAAGCTTTCCCCATTCACGATTTTTCCTGTCGCTTAAAGGGAGATAATATCAAGCTTTCTCCAAGTTTCCCCTTTTATAGATGTTTCAATGATAAAACCATGAAACTAAGAACAAAGGGTACTTAAGACATTTTAAGATCTGCAAGAAGGCGGTTACCTTTAACCTTTAAGGTTTTTTGACCCAACCACTGAACCAACTTAGTTCATTTAAAATTTAAAATTAATTAAAGGGTGATTGGATTACATTGAAATTAAGAGATAATATCCCTCGCCTCTCTTGATCCCTTTAGTAACAACCCTACGTAAGAATACGATATACTCCAAGTTTAATGGTAAGATTATTAGAATTGTATAATGCACAGCCATAAGAAGCTTTTGAAACAAATAATTTTCAATTTGACAATACGGTTATATGGGCACTGTTCAAATTGGATCGTATGTAAAATATTGTACTCTAGTTCGTGCGCAAAATATTCTACTGTAGTTCGATAATTCGTGTGTGAAATATTCTACTCTGAGTTCGACAGAGCTTTGATTTGCGAAAATTAGATGAGTCTAGGATCATTTTAAATTCCATTTATGTATTCTCCTGTTGAAAATGATTGGATCATTAGTTGCGTCAACTACATTTAACAGTTAAATACCAAGTCTTTTCTTTATATTTATATTGTCCTGGCAAGCGACAACGTATAGTCGTTCGGATGTGGCGAAAAAACAAGGCCCCGTGTACACATTTGTTTACATATTAAAGATCCCTTGGCAGTTGGAATTCGATATAAGAGTAGGCCGTAGCGCCTCTCACCGGGAACAATTTCCCTCATAGCACACTGTATGGCATATACCCGTCTTCATTAGCTAGTCGGAGCAGAACAGTAGACGTTAAACCCAATTTTATTTCATTTTATTTCTAGTTATATTGTGCTGATAATTATTATGGACGAGATTGTACTAGAAAATGTATACCCGATCCTGATAGATATGATTGTGATGCCGATGGTAACAGAGAATGTAATAATAACTGGACAGGACCCAACTGTGATATTCGTAAGTAAAATATTTGTCTCGATCATTCCAAAATATCTCTGACAAAATAACACTAATTTGCATTAGGTGGCAAGGGTCACGTGGAGATTCTCGTATGTCTAACGACAGGTTGAAAGGAATACTGCATGTTCGTTGTAGATTTAAAATGAAAATGGAGGTGGATGCTGAATTAATTAATTGCGACAAATGCGCGCATCTGATTGTGATTATGTATGTTGTCTATTTTGTGCGTATAAGCAAACGGTTGATCTTAAAGTATATGTTTTGTCTTTCAGTGAGTCCCTGCAGTAGTTTCCCATGTCAAAATGGCGGTAGATGTTTTAATGTGGACAGCGGCTCGACGATTTCTTTCAGGTGCGAGTGTAAGAAATTATACACTGGAACAGATTGTAGTTTGGGTAAGAAACATAATCAGTAATGCGCATGTTATATAACAGCTAATAATTTAACCTTGTTTTGTTTGCATTACTCCGATGATTACCTTGTGGGTTGTTAAATGCCCCGGCTAGCTTCAAGTTATTGAGGCAATTCGTTTTGTTTATATTTTACCAGACTGTTTTATCAGTACTGTAAGCCGCCAATGGAAATTTCTATAAAGTTTCAAGGGAATTGAGCATAAAAACTGAATAATTGTGGTAATAAATTGTGAATTTGTATATTACCAGGTGTTGATGATTGCATTAGTCAACCATGTAGTAATAACGGTACCTGTATTGATGGTATAGGGGACTATAGTTGTACCTGTCCAGGTGGACTGACTGGTAAAAAATGTGATTCAGGTTCGTTCCCATATTTATGTTCCTATTTGATTTATTGAATTTAAGGTAGAAATGACTATTAACTTATATCTAGAAACAATTAAATTTCTGCCAGCTTATTTTTTAGTTATGTTTCGGGATGAGATGGGTGAAGTGTGGGAAGTGGTTTGGGGATGTTTTATTTATGTTTTAAAATGAAACGCCTCAAGATCCGACTTCCGTCTAATTAAATCTGTCTAGATTTAAGTATTGCAATAATTGAAGAACTTACGTTTGGTTTAAACAATTTAAAGGCAGAAAAAATAGAATACTAAGAAAACACGCCAATTAGACTTATATTAAAGGCTCGATACCACTCTTGTTGTAACTGAATAATATGTCCCAATCTTTATTCTGGTCAACAAATTGTACTATTTTAGAATATTTCAATTAATTGATGATACAAATTTCATCTTAACACACCTTATTTAAAAATTTTGAAAAATTCAACATAATGGTTTGAAACGTCTAACGTAAACCTTTTCAAATGAAACTTCGATTTAAAAATATTTTCGAAGCCTCTGGACAAGTAAAATAGGATGTAATGGATAATTTACTTACACAACAGGTAGGACACTTAAACATCTAGTACTTAGATAGAGATATTATTTATTTTCTGGAGCTTTCAATCCAGCAAGAGTGTTATTGTCCCTTTAATTTGCTTCCTTGTGGGTGGGGTGTTTAATATATGTACAATTTTAAGTAATATATAGACAAGGCATAATGACAGAATTGTAGTTAAGGCACAAATAAGTAAGTAACTTACTTTTATAGGGCTTTGCATTTGCATTAATTTGTTTAATTACTTGTATTTTCAGATATAAATGAATGTACCCAGGGTACCCCATGTAACAATGGTGGCACGTGCATCAATACGTTTGGATCGTATTTATGTCAATGTGCGTTTGGATTCTCTGGTTCTAGCTGTGATGTAGGTAAGTTAAGCTTGTGTGTGTATTCACCGGCAGTAGAATGGAACGGAAAGCTATTTAACATTTGGTCATCTTGTTGTTCTTATTGTTCGGTAGGGGGGGGGGGTAGCCGGATGGTTAGCGCGAGCGCGTTATATCATCAGATCTGTCATTGATTCAGCGGGCGTGGTTTCGATTCCCTGGTTGTACATGACAAGGAGTTGGGTAGCCTGTCCAAGCTCGCGGGTTTTCTTCGGTTTCCTTCCAAAGCCAAATATCCCTACGCGCAAGCGAATTATTGAAATTTAGATTGAACCATATGTTAGTCGCAAAATGACTAAGTTTGTGTCGAGTGGACGTGAAACCTCTCTCTCTCTCTCTCTCTCTCTCTCTCTCTCTCTCTCTCTCTTCCCCCTCTCTCTCTCTTATTAAAATCCTCTGAACCTACTATCAATATTATCTTTAAAAGGCAGTCAATGAAAACGGTATAAAATAACTGACCACATTACAGATAATATTCACTGGGATTTTTCTAACTGTAACGTTTTAATGAGGGTACTTTCATCGTTAGCGAGCAATGAAACAACATATTACAGAAGGTTATAAACAAATACGTAATAATAACTAATTGACATACGAATACCCTTTACAGATAATGATGAATGTGCCTCCAATCGTGCAATCTGTCAAAATGGAGGAACCTGTGTTAATACACCTGGTAGCTATACCTGTAATTGTAGAAGTGGATTTTCAGGAACACATTGTGAAACAGGTAAATTTCTTATAATGTACACAATGCCGGGTTTCAAGATCTATGTAATATCTGTACCGATCGCATAAGCCTTTCGTACAGACTATAAAAGTCTTAAATAGGAACCTCTGACCAAAGTATATAACATTTTTATCACTGTCCATGAAACATTCATCATTCAATTGTGTTTAAAGCACACCTTCATATCCTGTGGTGAAATGGAGAGAGGCATCATAAGTGGAATGCGGGAGAGGGAACTCTTGTAATTTATATCTGGCACTGGATGTATTACTTTGAAAATTAGATTGCACTATAATCTGATATAGTGCTGGGTGATGATACTTATCCATTATCGGTTCTGTTTGATCTTTCATGGTGATCGATTATAATATTAGCATCGGAATGGAACTGGTGGGACTTCAATGCATAGGACAACTGGATATAATAGGTCTACTTTTATATTCCATTATTCTCAGTGACGAAGCAAGGGTGGGTGGAAGGGGATGTAGGGTGCATTCACCCAAACAAAGTTGGGAGATGCTAACTGTAGGTCGGTTGGGATGGTTCAGGAATGTCCGGAGTCCACGATAGCCATTTTAGGGGATAGTTTTTTGGGGAATACTAACTGAGTTTACACTAAAGCTATCTAGGGAGACTTGCGTAGGTGCATTGGCCTGTTCTAATAACCAACGTGTAACGACCATGTTTTCCTTTATAATAGAATTTTCAGTATACGCGTCTACAAATCACCTCTTATGCATTTGTGGTCCCTTTTATGCATTTTTTAAAATCCTGGAGATCGGCTCGGCCATCGTACATTATATATTCTATTTCTCTTTTACAGCATTCAATGATTGTCGAACACAGAATTGTGAAAATGGCGGTAGTTGTGCCTTATCGGTACGGGGTAACTACGAATGTCAGTGTAGTCTCGGTTACAGTGGTACGAGATGTGAGAGATATGTTTGTGACAGTAACCCATGTGAGAACCTCGGTACCTGTGTTCCAACGAGTGCTACCGGGTTCACCTGTTTATGTCGTTCTGGGTTCTCTGGCCCTACCTGTAAACAGTACAACCCTTGCAATCAATCACCTTGTCAAAATGGTGGATCCTGTTCTGTTCGTGATGATGATTATGTCTGTACCTGTCCACCAGGTAGCGGATATACAGGTAAGTTAATACTGTCATCTGATTTATCATAATAGGTGTCTCGGTGAGTAAAAGGTTGGTTCGCTAACCTGGGGATCCCGTGTTTGATCCCGGTGTTGGTCAAGAACGTTCATAGCTATTCTATGGTGAAACCATATCCCAACAACAATGGCTGGTATATACTGTTCTCTCTTTGTATGTTATTTAAACATAAATTATACAAGAGCTAAATCTGCCTATTGCAGGTCTTTCTTTAGGCCTGAAATGATATCTAAATTAGTAATAAGACATTGATTAACTTATCCGGACCATAATCAACTCTCGATGTCATCGCTAGCCTGTGATATGTACTGGATTAGGATCCGATTTGCTGCTCAACTTTCATTCATGATTAAATCATGAAATAATTAATGATGATCGAGGCTAGGTCGAAAATTCAATCGCTAAATTATCGGTTCAGAATGGATAAATTTGACATACATTTTCAGCATATTCCCTTTACATTATTTAGTGTTTAACTATTATAGTGAGAACTGCCAGCTCTTTATCTAAATCTTACACTTATGCCGACCATGCATCTTTAGCGTCCTAGATTTCTACCACGACTATACATTTCTGACACCCTGCCCCATAAGGAGTGTCAAATCTTCACCAAACCTAATTTGAAAGGACCATAATCAACTCTCTAGGCCATCGGATGCTCGAGATTTTCAACGGATTCAAACATGATTGACGGTTAATGATTTTAATTTTAAAAATGATAAATGAGACTTTGTTTACTATCGTAACAACGGTAGCAATGACAATCGAGATTCTGCTATTTTCCAAACAGCCCTAACGTCAAAATTATTTGACTGAAATTTTCAAGATATTCCCTTTTCATTATCTAACTTTTAACTTTTATAGTGAGAACTGCCATCTCTTTATATAATCTCCCATACTGTATCTTTAATTTTTTTTTTCAGGAACCAACTGTACCGACCGTCCATGTTCACCAAGCCCTTGTAAAAATGGTGCCACATGTTTTGTTACCGGGAATTCCTACATTTGCCGATGTCCTTTAGGCTTCACCGGAGTCAACTGTGATGAGACACCCTGCGATCCGAATCCATGTGGAGCAAACGGCAACTGTTTCCTGGGATTGACCGGGTATATCTGTAGCTGCCGAGCCGGTTACACGGGATCCACATGTCAACAAAGAGATGCGTGTTACAGTGGGCCCTGTAAAAATGGTGCTCAATGTTCTGCACGAGGTTCCACTTATAGCTGTGATTGTCCTGCTGGATTTTCTGGACAGAATTGTACTGTCACCTCCTGCTCCCTAAAACCATGCGCTAATGGCGGCACCTGCTTAGTGAACGGTAACGGGTATTATTGTTCATGCCCAGACGGCTTTACCGGCACCAATTGTGAGCTCAGTCCATGCGCCCCTTCTCCATGTGTAAACGGCGGATCATGTTTGGTGTCTCAAGGAACATATTTTTGCAGATGTCGTTTAGGAACAGCCGGAGTAAATTGTGAAGTTAAACCAAGCCCCTGTTCCTCTGCCCCTTGTCAAAATTCTGGACGTTGCATTGATGGTTTAATTACAGGCTACACATGCGATTGTCCTCGTGGATTCAACGGCATCAATTGTCAGATTAGGGACAGGTGTGCCTCTAATCCTTGTCAAAATGGTGCTGCTTGTTATTCTGGTATCTCAACCTTCTCGTGTCAATGTTTGAGAGGATTCACTGGGAAAACCTGTGGACAAACTATCAACAGATGTGAGTCCAATCCCTGTGAAAATGGTGGAGAATGCATGACAACTACAACTGGATATTTCTGTAATTGTGCTGAAGGTTACACGGGCACCAATTGTAAAGTCTTCACTCCTTGTTCTTCTGATCCTTGCAAAAATGGAGGCATATGCTCACCGATATCAAATGGCTACTTCTGTGCATGCCCTCAAGGTTATGAAGGCTCCAACTGCGAAATTATAGACCCGTGTAGTCAAAGTCCCTGTGAAAATGGCGGGTTGTGTAGAAATCTTGAAAAGGGATTCCAATGTAGTTGTAAAGCTGGTTATACTGGTCAATATTGTGAAGTGGCTGCAGGCTGTACTCTCAACCCATGTCAAAACGGCGCAAGATGTATCCCTGTGGGAAATACAGATTTCCAGTGCGAATGTCTTGTCGGTTTTTCGGGACAGAATTGTGGAGAAGCAACCGGCTGCCGTCTTAATCCATGTCGTAACGGCGCTTCGTGTCGAGCGGTAGGCAGAACTGGATTTCAGTGCGAATGTCTGACAGGATTCAGTGGAGCAACTTGTGACGCTCTCGCTGGATGTAACTTAAATCCTTGTACAAACGGTGGTACGTGTCGACCTATTGGTACATCAGGATTCCAATGTGCTTGCAACACGGGATATTCCGGACAGTTTTGTGAAGTTCTTGCTGGCTGCCGATCTAACCCATGTGCCAATGGTGCCGAATGTCGAGCTGTCGGCGACACCGGATATCAGTGTGCATGTCAGAATGGGTTCTCAGGACCAAGATGTGAAATCATTTCAGGCTGCGCATCGAATCCTTGCAATAACGGAGGGTCCTGCCGATCTGTGGGACAGAATGGTTTCCAGTGTGACTGTAAAACAGGATTCTCTGGTCAATTTTGTGAAGAGGCCTCCGGGTGTAATCTCAATCCTTGCTTGAACGGTGCTGCCTGTCGTTCATTGGGAAGGACCGGGTTTAGATGTGAATGTCGTACAGGGTTTTCTGGTCCAACATGTGAAGCAAGATCTGGCTGTAACCTTAACTCGTGTGTTAACGGAGCTACATGTACGCCAGTGGGTAGTTCTGGTTACCAGTGTAAGTGTGCACCTGGGTTTACGGGAAGGAATTGTGACAAACAAGATAAGTGTTACGCTAGACCATGCGCTAACAAAGGAGTTTGCTATGTCTCTGAAAACAGCGTCACTGGTTATTCATGCCAGTGCCTCCGCGGATTCAGTGGACCAAACTGTGAGATCAGCTTGAGGGATGCTTGTTCGAATAATCCGTGTTTGAACGGAGGACAATGCTCACCAAATACCCAGTCTCCTCAAGGTTACCTCTGTCGTTGTCCAGCATCATATGTTGGTGACCGATGCGAATCCCCTAAGCTACCGCCAGCAACCGACGGCCCTTGTTATTCATCGCCTTGTCGTAACGGTGGTTCCTGCGTCAACGAAGGAACGGCAACCTACAAATGCAACTGTATTGGTAATTTTGGAGGAAAGAACTGTATGCAGAGAACTAGCGCGGATTGTCCACTTCAATGTTACAATGCTGGCACATGCTATAAAGATGAGACGGGTCAACCTAGATGTCGATGTCCCAGTATTGCTGCTGGAACTCGTTGTGGTATGTTTACATCCAGAGTCATTACTTAACACATCGTGCAATATGAGAGTCATGTATTATAGTCTTTGATGAGCAAATGTAGACGAGCAAGATATTGGATATCCATGAATGAGCGGTTTATAAAATCTAAATTCTTGGCCATTGCCACTGCAGCGATGTTATGTTTTATTAGTTACTTAGAGACCACGCAATATGAGAGTGTGCGAACATCAAACGATATGCCCTAAAACACGAATTGAACGAAATGAAGGGAATGAAATGGGGTATAACATCGTCCTAAAACACCTGACACCACTTCTCATGTCAAAATGAAACGATATGTAATGGCACGTCATATTTCGCCAAATTCCCATGTGGTTCATATAGCTTTTAATCTTTTTTACCGTTTTATTTGCATCGAATGTCGACGACCCAAATCTTAATGATGTCAAATCCAGGTATGCGTATACTATCATGAAAGTCTGGTTCAATTAAGGGTTTGTTGCTCATGTGGCGCGACGTTGGACCACGGCTAAACATTTTGTTAGATATTCTATATTAATCTCTTTGATATCTAATACCAATCTCTAGAAGTCTAATATTGATCTCTCGATTTTTAATATTGATTTCGTTGATATTTAATATTAATCTCTTGGATATTTAATATCGATCTCTAGAAATTTAATGTTGATCTCTTTGATATCTGATATCAATCGCTAGAAGTCTAATATTGATCTCTCGATTTTGAATATTGATCTCTTGGATATTTAATATCGATCTCTAGAAATTTAATATTGATCTCTTTGATATCTTATATCAAGTTCTAGAAGTCTAATATTGATCTCTCGATTTTTAATATTGATCTCTTTGATATTTAATATCGATCTCTAGAAATTTAATATTGACCTCATTGACCTCTTTGATATCTAATATTGATCGCTAAGCTCATCAAGCGCTATAAACATGCCTTGTATATGCCAGTTAATCTCCCTTTTCATTAATCCATATATTTCATCAACTAATCTACCCTTTTTCAACCTGTTTAACATCGTAACTAAACATCCCTAACAATGGACTTACAGGACGTATGTAATCTGAATGCCCATATATAGTCACTCATGTAGCTATAGCAACAGATAATTAGATGCTGGGTATCAAATAGTATGTTTCGTGCATTTCCTTGAGAGCAAAAACCGGAACCGTTTTAATTCTATTTTCTTCTCTTTTTGTCGGTTTTATATTTTGTCTAAAATTCATTACCATGGTAACGGTGGAGCAGTAAAGATGATTCGCAAATTGTCGTAGAGTCGCCCAAACCTCGTGTGTGATATTTGTAGTCATCACCATTATTGCTTGATTTAAAATATATTTCTGACAACCCCCTTTTGCTGAAGAACAAGCGCAACGCCGTTCTTCTTCGCGTATTGTACATATTGATCTTAATAATACCAATATTTGTATTGCGCAATTGTCCAACTGCTAGGGAATACTCTAGGCCCCCCAAAAAGGTTCTCATTTTGGCATGTTAATGATAGTGACTAAATATAACCAAGTTTTCACGTCATGCTAGGTTCCCACTATCACGATTCAAGCTGCGATTGCAATCATGACTTTAATCGTGGAGTAATCCTGATGATCCAATCAGATCTCATCTTATATATTGAGGACAGTCGTGGCAATCGTGTTGACAACATCGAAACGTATCCAAACGTACCTGCACGAAGCAGATTGTGGACTCGGTAGGGACATTCCTATTGTAACGCATCGCACGCCAGTCGGAATCTGGCTTTTAATTTCAAATCTTACATCAAATTTAAACACGTTAGACTCAAAATTAGTCAGGATTAGGTGTGTAATTTTATTCGTAAATTCAAAGCATCGGGGTACATTTTCTTGCTAAAGACTAACCTCTGTACTCTTGAAGTAATTTGTACATGACAAGGAGTAGGGTCGCCTGTGCAACCTCTTGGGTTTTCTCCGGGTCCTCCGGTTTCCTCCCACTGCTAAAGACTCCTACGCGCAAGCGAGTTATAGAAATAAATTATAACCATATGTTAGTCCCGAAATGACCTAGTTTGTGTCGAGTGGACGTTAAACCCCATTTCTCTCTCTCTCTCTCTCTCTCTCTCTTGAAGTAATTACGGATTTAACTCTTTACTGCTCTTCGTTGCCATGTGATGGAAATTGTTTTTAAAAACGGAATCAACCCAAACTTGTAATGTGTAAGTGATCAAGATTGATAGAAGTTGGAATCAAGAGACAACCATAAAAGAGGTAAGATATTAATGATTGGGGTGAAGAAATAGTTTATTAGTCTAAGAAGAGATGAGTTCGACCAACCTAGAAGTTCCTTGGGTTGTGTGGTTTAACCCGGTTTTACATTGTTTGGTAAGTATTGCTCATTTCTTCTCTTTTTTCCAGTTTTTTTAAAAATACTTTTAAATCGACTAAGTAATTTACGCGGTTATTTGTGCCTCAAAGCTCAAGTATATGGTCCTATCGTCCGGGAGTGGGGGTTGGATGACCGAATGGTTAGTACGTGCGCGCTGTATCATAAGGTCTGTCATTGAGTCAACTGGCGTGGTTTCGATTCCCCGGTTGTACGTGACAAGGGGTAGGGTCGCCTGTCCAACCTCGTGGGTTTTTTCCGGGTCCTCCGGTTTCCTCCCACAAGCCAAATATTGAAATAAAATTGAACCATGTATTAGTCTCGAAATGACCTAGTTGGTGTCGAGTGGGCGTTAAACCCCATTTATCTCTTTCTCTCTCTCCCCCTATCGTTCGGGTTCTTATCGTGGTATGAAAAGCAAAATTGCCAGGCAAAAGAACTTTGCATTGTGACCCGAACAATTATGACACATTCTGATTGTTTGTGACAAGAGGTCTAGGGTTTCCGAAAGAACCCTGGATTGTTTATCAGCATGCTTTTATCTTCTCATTGTTGCAACCGAGGTCTTGTGCACACATTGGCGTGCACGTAAATGAACCACAAACAGTTAAGATTTGAAAATGAGAGTAGGTCGTAGCGTTGCTGTCCTGGAGACGTTAACCCAGTTTCATTTTACTCTCTCCTAAAAGATAATGTTGAGTGAGCTTGCAAGATCGTTAAGTTCCTTGATTGCTGGAATAGATACAAAGATGCATCTGAGGGGTCTTTCTTGGAAAGATGCTCGTGAATACTAGTAAATTAGACTCGTGAATACTATTCTGTTAGATCATCTAGTATGATAAGTATGGTTTATGTGTGGAACTAATAATTATTAACCCTTGCTGTCACCAGCAAGCTGGACGTTCCGGTCTAATTATATACATTGAAATCTCCACAGTCCACAGTTAATAGGCATTATGCGAGATTTGGAAAAAAAAAAGAACTGATCGTCCTTGTTATAATAATTCAAAAATAGTTAATGAGCAATAAATATTTTGAAAATTGCTATAATATTTTGAAAAAGGATAATGAAAATATTGAATATTTCTCAAAATACTTCTTTGCGAAATTGCGAATCGGGGTTTAGGCTGCGAATGCAATTAATTAGTTTTAAATTTTATTAAATCTCTATTATTTTTTATCTGGAAATCCACTCAATGTCCAAGACATCCGATGGTGAAGAGGATTGGTTATTGGCTTGCCATGTGCATAAATGTCTAAAAAATAATTTATATAGGATTTGAAGCTCTCGCATAATGCCCCTTTAATTGCCCTCGAAGTAGAATTAAGGGGGGCAGATAGATTTTGGGGGGTTGTAAACGAATCTGTGAAATATAAATGTTTATGTTGGAGCTGTGAGGAAGAAGGGAGTATAGCTTTAATTTGTTGGTAAAATTCATAAATAACGTAAAATATATTTACTGTAAAGGGGGACAGACAAGGTACTCGTAATATATATAAAGTCATGATACCATTTCACTGTATATAATTAGCCGATATATTTACTCGTATTGGGTTTTAGTTCAGGAACTGTTCCCAAGCGCTGTTCACCTTCTTGTTCTTATTGCTTTTGGATCAGGAACTGCTCCCAAGCGCTGCTCATATTCTTGTCCCTATTGCTTTTGGATCAGGAGCGCTCATCTTTGTGTTGTTCTTGGGAGCGAGGCTCGTCGAAGAAAACCTAGGGCCTTGCCAATGCAAGTACGATCGGCATGAAACTCGGCATTTTTATTCCCTGAACTACTGTGCATCGTTTGAACCACTCAATTTTATATATGACGTCACAGTTACAAGATGGCTGCGATGAAGCCTTGCTCAGTTCCTGATCCATCTGTACTTCTCAAAAAAGAGGTGATTTTCAAGTAAGGAGAGGGAGGGGCAAATGGTTTAAAGAATTGCGCTGTGAATTAGTGAGCAGTTAATGAAATAAGTATGTAGAGTAAGTAAATTGCGGAAAGCCCCCCTTTACAGTTCGAGTTATTTATGAATTTTAATAATCAGTAGCGTGCAGAGCGTAGGGCAGAGGGGTGGGGTAGAAGAGGTGAAAGGCCCGAGCATCTATTTCAGGGGGTGGAGGCATCTAATCAATAAGCGATGTTAAATTTTAAGAATTTTGAATCAAAATTGTATTTCATCTGTTTTTACATGTCAAAGGAGGCAAGTCTTTAACTCAATATCATCCACTGCAAACTTCTTGGTCAATTTAAACCAACACAGATGTGGTTATTTTACCGTAAAAGATGGCCTTCTGATATCCAATATTTAAGACAAAATGAAAATTTTACAATTGGCACACGAATTGCGTGTCAGAATGCTTTCGAGTGCCATTTGTAATGAATCGACCCGATACACGAGGTTAAGTATATCCTACAGGAGAATACTACTGGTGTAGACTGTCATTCAATTTGAATTCTTCGCGTATTTCGCGCAATATAACTGATTAGAAATTACAGTAAAACAGAAACGATTGAATATAAATCAGTTTATATACATTCAAAATAAATTAATATATGCCTTGCGACCCATTTGTGTCCATTTCCACGTGCCAAGGAATACGGATTTAACTTCTTTAAATTTCCTTCCTTTCTCACAT